GTCCAACACAGATCCACTGATCCTTCAACACAGAGCCTCTTCAGAAGACAAGATGATAAATTTTAAAAATCTGTATTGTTCCATACGAGTGTGTACTGAACCTAAAGCACTGTTCGATACGGGTGCATGTATTGTTGCACCCCTAATAAATAAATAAACAAGTAGCTCAGACACTGCAATTATGTCTTTATTCTTCTTTATTTCCTCTTCAAACACACTTCCTGGTGTACACGTACATTTCCATTCAAAAGGAAAAACTCAAGTGAGGTTAAAGTGCTGAGAAATGAAATAATATATTTGTAACCATCAAAGTCATCGTCACAATCAAAGCTGACAAAATAAGCTTGTTTGCATTTCCAATGAGGGGGGGRAAAAAAGAAAAAAAAGTGCAACAAATTTCATTTTTTTTCCTCCGTTTTCAAACTTTTATCACCACAGCCGTCCCCTTCAGACACACATGCAGACGCACACGCCACCACGCATTAACCTAAACTCAGATCTGCTGCAAAAAAATACAAATAAAAAAATTCACAAGTTTCCATAAAGAAACTGTAGAGGAGCTTCRGTACGACTGCATCACATTCTCATGCTGTAAGACTTCAGACAAGCAGAACCACGAATTATCTCCTGTAGCCCCACTGCTCAAACAGACACATCTACWGGTGTCCGATTAATAAAAAACACTGGTCTGATAAAGAGTGGGCAGACATGGGTTTACAGCAGGAAAAAACCTGAAGGACAGAAAGAAACCAAACTATTGTTTTCTTCCATAACGTCCTCCACAGAGTCCATGTGTAGAAACATGAACCCAACAAACGAAGGGATTTACCTCGGGGCTCCGCTGCACCCAAACTTTACCAGAGAACCAGCACTCTGAGCCGTCACACAGAAAAACAAGCAACTACAACCGTAAACACGTGGTGAGGGAAAGTTCATGATCAACTACAAAAAAAAAACCCTTTATGTTTTTTGCATCTTCAGGACCGAGCAGRGCCACGAGTCTGAGCTCAGACCTGTCATTTCCAGACGACCAACAGGACGGGAGAGTCCACGCTGACACTTAAAGGCAGACGTTTCACAGCTTTTTGAAAACGAGAGAGCGCTACAATTATTACACGGGAGGGAAGGTGTCAAGTTTTAAAMCTGCTGACGCCAGAAATTATGAAAAAAAACTGTGTCCAGAAATAYATCTGAGTGGGTTAAAGTGCATTAATCTGCACCAGGTCTCTGCTTTAGCCGTTACTACTGGATCAGAGCTGAACCGTCAGAGAAACAAAGAAGTTCATGATTAAATGGAGTGTTTTAAAAAAAAAAAAACATCTGCTCTGCAAACAAAACTAACGTGGTGTTTGAAATTAAAGACTAAAACAGACAGGTTTTAGGGAAAAGTTTGGAACTCTAATTAAACCAAAAAAAATAATAAATTCATCAAGATTATTCAGGTTCTAGACAAACGTTTGAATTTACTTAACAAAAAACAGCCGTGGCAATCCTGCCCTGCCCAGAGACGCTCAGAAGAGAAGTTACTTCAACCTCCTGATCACCAGTAAAAAACATATTTGAAAAAAGATGAACTCTCCAATAAACACGTCAGAAAGTCTTTGGTTGAGCATATGTGCAGCACCTCATTTAACACAAAACACAGCTGGGTCTAAACGCAACACATCCTGAGCTCTGCAGACGCAAGAGGCAGGGCTGACCCTGCTGGAAGCCACATAAGGTCATCATCCCCCCCGCAGCCGGCAGTGGCTGCTTACAGACGTCATTTCAGAACAGATCCTCTGCGCCGTCAGGGACAGGGACGGGCTCGAGGAGTCACAGCTCTCTGCTTCAACGYTAACAGCTAATTATAGCTTTCACAGAAGTGGTGTGAGGGGGAGCGGGGGCAGCAGGGAGGCCGCTTTTAGCCTCCGCATTCATCCAAGTCKGAGGAGACGTCCTGTCCCGTCCTCTCACGACCACAAAAAAAGGGTTTCAAACGCCGTGTTCTTCCCAAAACACACCTGGCAAGACAGGAAGTGACACGTGAAGGTAAAGATGGGGGTTCTCAGCCTGTGGTTTAGGAGTCGGACACAGCACCGCGTCACATAGGATCCCATTACAGGGCTGCTGCGGGGGGGGGCCACCCTGCGGGGGCTCCATGTGCTGCTCCTTTTAAGGAGGCAGCCAGTTGGTCTGCATCCCCCACAGCAGGCCTGCCTCACCTGTCAGTCAGCCTGTGACGACCGCAGGTCGTCACAGGCTGACTGACAGGTGAGGCAGGCCTGTGACCTGAGGTCACTTACAGAGAGGAAACACCAAACCAGTCTCAGCTGACCAGTACCAGGCTGGGAACTGGTTTAAAAGGAGCTCATTAAACAGTGGAAAGTTTAAATAAAAAGCACAAAAACTCTCCTGAACTGCTAACAGGAAACACCGAAGTTTAAATGTCAAAATTAATTAAAACAAAACAACTTCTTATTTCCACCGATACAGCCTTTAAGTGAACCATTTTCTAATCCTCCCTCCTAAACATCCTGCTCTTTAAACTGTTTTCAACTTTCTTTCCCAATACAAGCATTTTTTTTAAATATTTTTTGATTTTTTTTTCTGATTTTTCACATTTTTTTAAACACGAAGGAAACCAAATTTAAAGCTACAGCACATCAC